ACTTCTGTTATTTTAGTTTTCATATATCAGTTTTGTATCAAGTGAAATTCATCTGTACTAAGTCATTGTGGAGATCAATTAACCTTTACCATTTTTTACTAATCAAAAGTAAAATTTTCGGAAGCAAATATTTAAGCCCCAATATTTTACCTGTTCCAGCAATGCTGTTTGCTTTTCCAGAGCTACACAAATATTTTCATTAATTTGCTCTGAAGTTTTCATGCGCTTAACATTTTCTTTGTTTTCTGAAAACATCCTCTTCTTTTGATTATGGCCTTGGGGAGATGGAAAGATCAGAGATAAAAATATTCCTTCTAATGAAGGAAATGGGAATGCTCTAATTTAGGGACTCTCTAAGCAAATGGAAAAACTAAACTGTGACCATGGAAGCATTTTTTAGAAAATGAAGTTGTATAAAAAATTATGACAATCTAACTTTTTAAAAAAATGAATATCCTAGGTAGGGTTCTGGTTTCAGATACACTTTTCCTTCAATGTTAATACACATTTAATACGAACGAAACCTGAATAAGTTATAGCATTTAATCCTGTATGTGCAGTTATTTGAGTGGTCTATAGTATTTTTATAAGCAGTTAGACAGTCTTACATATTTTTAATAGGTGATCCTATTTTTAAGTAATTTAAAATTCATCTTGTTAAATGATCACTCTGTAGCCTAGACAAGAACATAAAATTTATCCTATGAAATCAGTTTGTTTTTATATTTCATTAACCTACAAGAACACTCCATTTCTAATGAAATATACTTTTACTATTTTAATGATTTTATAACCTTAGACCTTCCTTGTTTAATTATTTGATGCGTTTCTCTCTTGCTCTATACACATGTATGTATGTATATGTGTATATATTCTCATCTATCAAGCTCATACTTGATGTGATTAAAAGGTCAATTCTATGAAAAGAAATGGATTCACCAACAATTTAAAAAATCTACTTTCTCTTTCAACTAGCCTCCTTATTAATCTAATAAATAAAACTTCAAAATAAGAAAATATGTAGGTGAAAGAAACCAAATAATTACCATAAACCATTTTTGATTTTTTGTACTCTTAAAAGTGATTGATTTCTTCTTTGCTATAATCTACTTCCCTCTGGATATGAAGGATAACATTCCCCCTCCCCGAGAAGAGTGGTTCAGAAACAAGACACTCTGAAATAATTATTACTATTCACTTTTTTCCTGTCTGCATGTACTTAACTGTTTCTATATGAGACTATAAAGTCGCCCAAAAGAAAATGACTATTTTTTCTCCAAAAGGTATACAAATAAACACTTACTGTTATTATTATCTGTGTCAAGTGATGATAGCCAAATTGAGTCTGTAGTTTTACAATTTGAAATGCTTGAATGACAAATTCTACAGGATTCTTCAGTTTTCAAAATGTCAGCAGCACAGTTACGAGAAATGACTGAATTCACCAATGTAGGTATTTTATCAACAAGCACAAAACGGGTATCTGCACTTAAAATCAAAACATCATTTTGCTTTTTATCATGTGACGCAGAATTGGAGTCTGTTTCAAAATGAGAATTCATCTTGTCAATTCTCTTATCATCCAAGATATTGATTACTGTAGACTTTGGCATTTGAATTATACTACTCAGTACACTGGGTGGATGACTAATGGATCCCAGATTACAATCCTCTTTGTGTTGTTCAAGTAAGGATCTTGTTATATTTGCCTGACATTCAAAATAGTTTTCTGAAGTGTTTTGTGACAAATCTTTTGCCTCTTGGGTAGATAGTTTCCTGGGAGATTCTATTGTTTTACTTGGCTTTTGGCAAGGGCACACAACTTGTTCTTCAATATATCCCAATCTTGTTTTCAAATCAACAATTTCTGGTGGTTTTATTAAATTCTGAGAAAATACTTCATTTTTCTGTGAACATACGAAATTTCTGTTAGAGTCCATAGACGAAGCATCATTTTCAGAATGTCTGCATTTGTTACTTATGACACCAGTACTTGAATTCTGGTTACCACTTGAGACATTATTCCCAGTTGCTGCTATTTTCAGTGCTTCAACATTCTTTGACTTATTCAGGATCTCTACTTGCTTCCGACAACTTGCAGGCATTGTTTTTTTGGCTTTTAATATCTTCCGTTTACTTCGATCTGGACTTGCCATCTTTCATATCCTAGAATTGAAGATACCATATTTAAATGCTTTTCTCTAGCAGACAAAAACTAACATTTATTTACAATATTAAAATAATATTGAGACTATCTCTCCAGATTTGAATATTTTTATTGAAAATTACTTTTGCTATAAATGTACAAGTAATTTAATTTTTTTCTATAAATCTAAACTATATAAATTATAAATTTCTATTGTCTGTAATCCTTTATTTGATACTAAGCCTGATAATTTATCTGGCCACTTTTTGTAATATCACCTCACTGCTATAACCATTAACCTCTGGTTTAAATAATCTAAGCAGGGCATACTTTAGCAATCTAAAGATTAAGTTGCATTTCTTCATAAAATTAAGAAAGCTGTTGCTATCTGAAAGCATCTTGAGAGAAACAAAGAATAAGGATGCTAAAATCCATCTGATTCTGATTGAGAGCTGTATTCATCAGTTAGCTCAATATTATGAGACTAAATGAGTTGAGAACATTCAATTTTCTACACATAGTGGCACCTTTTTAAAGCTTTCCTAATATTCATATTTCCAAAATAAATGGTACTGCATGAGTAATTCTCAATACTCATGAGTATAAAGCAAGCATGAAGATATGCAACATATTAATTCAAATAAGAAAGCCAATTTAGGTTTTGTAATACTTAATTCTAAATTATTTTTCATAGTTTAAGAAAAATCTACTACATAGCAGAGAAATACTTTAGTATTTATCTCTCAGTATCCACATCAACTTTGATCTGAACCGGAGGTATGTAAATGTTTTAAAAGAAAGGAATACTGCTGTTTTGCTACCTGTCCCCCGCCTTCATAGATCACACGTCTGATCTTAGTACAGGCCTGTCTCAGTCAGCTCTGCCCTACCACCTGGCTAAAGTTGATGTCTGATGGTGTGAAGGAGGACGTCTACAAATTGGCCAAAAAGGGGCTGACACCCTCACCAATCAATGTGACCCTGAGAGACTCACATGGCATTGCATAAGTGACAGGCAATAAAATCTTCAGAAGTCTTAAGACTTCCTCCTGATTTCCCTGAGAATCTCTACTATTTAATTAAGAAAGCTATTGCTATTTGAAAGCATCTTGAGAGAAACAGAGAATAAGGATGCTAAAATCCATCTGATTCTGATCAAGAGCTGTATTCACCAGTTGGCTCGATATTATGAGACTAAACAAGTCACCCCCTACAATTGGAAACATGAGTCATCCATATTCTCTTCCTGTTTGCATAAATTTGTGTATGTACTCAAGCAACACAATTACTGCTTAATTAGGTAAAAAAATAATGCAAGACTTCTTGTCAAGATAGGGGAGTTGGTAAATGATGTACTTGCCTCCTCCCATGACATCAAATTTACAACTAACTTATAGAAATACTATCATTGAGAACCAACTGAAGATTAGCTGAACAGGAACAGAAGTCCTATATCTAATCTAAGCATATAAAGAAGCCATAATGAGACTGGTAGGAAGAATGGAGATGTGGAACAAGTAGGTCCAACACCAATGGTGTGGCGATTAAGAATTGGAAGGGATACCATGGGTGTACAGGTTCCCCCTGATTAGTGAGAGTCCCAGCCCCACGTTCAGCTTACCAGCCAGGAGCAAAAGTGTTAGGAAGAGGAGTCCCCTAGCTGTGAAACCAGCAGGGATTGCATCTGAGTGAAATGAAGGGCTGCTGGAGTCTCAGGAGTTCCTCTTGAGGGAACTGCACACAGACTCTCTCGCTCTTGTGCACCAGCACAAGCATGGCAGCTCGAAGAGCGCCAGGGATATAAAGGGAGGAACTGAACTGATTAGCTTCAGGGTGAGAGCTGGAGGGCCAGGGCAGCTTTCAGAGGAGGTATAGAAGCAACATAACTGAATATAGATAAAGGCCATATGTGACAAGCTCACAGCGAACATCATACTCAATGGTGAAAAACTGAAAGCTTAAGACCAGGAACAAGACAAGGATATCCACTTTCACCACTTTTATTCAACATAGTATTGGAAGTCCGAGCCACAGCAATCAGACAAAAAAAAATTAAAAAAAAAAGAAAAAGAAAAAGAAAAGGCATCCAAACTGGAAATGAAGTACAACTGTCATTATTTACAGAGGACATGATTCTATAGAGAACTGTAACGAATCACCAAAAAACTATTAGAAAAATTGAATTCAGTAAAGTATCAAGATACAAATTAATATGCAGAAATCAGTTGCATTTTTATATGCCAATAATGAACTATTGTAAAGAGAAATTAAGAAAACAATCCCATTTACAATTGCATGAAAAACAATAAAATACCTAGGAATAAATTTAACCAAGGAGGTAAAAGACCTGTACATGGAAAACTGTAAGACATTGAAGGAAGAAACTGAAGAAACCACAAATAAATGGAAGGATATACTGTGCTCATGGACAGGCAGAATTAACAACATTACAATGTCCATACTACCCAAAGCAATCTACAGATTGAATGTAACTTCTATCAAAATACCAATGACATTTTTTACAAAACTGGAACAAATAATCCTAAAATTTACATGGAACCATAAAAGACCTTGACTAGCCAAAGCTATCTTGAGAAAGAACAAAGTTGGAGTTATCACACTACCTGACATCAAATTCTACAATGAGGATACAGTAATCAAAACAGCATGGCACTGGCATAAAAACAGGCACATAGATCAATGGAACAGAATAGAGAGCCCAGAAATAAACCCATACCATACATGGTTAATTGCTCTATGTTGAAGGAGGCAAGACTATACAATGGTGTAAAGACAGTTTCTTCAATAAATGGTGCTGGAAAAATTGAACAGATATATACAAAAAGAATTAAACTGCATCACTTTTTAAATATACAAGAATACACTCAAAATGGGTTAAAGACTTAAATATTTAAGATTTGAAACCATTAAACTCCTAGAAGAAAACAGAGAGAGTAAACTCTGCGACATCACTCTTAGTAATATTTTTTTGGCTATGTCTCCTCAGGCAAGGGAAACAAATGACAAAATAAACAAATGAGACTACATTAAACTAAAAACTTTTTGCACAGTGAAGGTAACCATCAACAAAATGAAAAGACAGCCTACTGAATAGGAGAGGATATTTGCCAATAATATATCAGTAAGTGGTTAATATCCAAACTATATAAGGAACTCATACAACTTACCACCAAAAAACCAAACAATCCAATTAAAAAATAGGCAGAGGACCTGAATAGAGATTTCTCCAAAGAGGACATTCATATGGTTAACAGACTTATGAAAAATGTTCAACATCACTAATTTGAAAACTCTAATTCAAAAAGATATATGTTCACTGCAGCATTATTTACCATAGCCAAGATATGGAAGCAACCTAAGTGTCCATCAATAGACAAATGGATAAAAAAGATGTGGTGTATATATACAATGGAGTATGACTCAGCCACCAAAAAAAAAAAAAAAAAGAAAAAAGAAAAATCTTGCCATTTGTGAAAACATGGATGGGCCTAGACAGTATTATGCTAAGTGAAATAGGTCAGAAAAAGACAAAGACAAATACCATGTGGTTTCACTTATGTGTGGAATCTAAAAAACAAAATACACAAAACAAAAAAACCCCCAAACTCATAGATATAGAGAACAAATTGATAGTGCCAGATGAGAGGGGAGTTGGAGGATGGTTGAAAAAGGTGAAGGATTTAAAAAGTACAAATTGCCAGTTACAAAAATAATCATGGGTAAAATACAGTAAAGAGAATATAGTCAATAATATCGCAGTAACTAAGTAGGATGTCAGATGGGTATTTGACTTATTGGGGTGATCACTTTCTAAGTTATATAAGTGTCTATTTTGTACATCTAAAACAAATCTTATATTGTATTTCAACTGTAATCGACAAATAAAAAAATTTAAAAAGAAACACTGTCAAATTTACAAGGCAATTGGTCATAACATAAAAAAAAAAAAACAACAAATAAGAATTATATCGACACGATAGACTGTTTATCTAACAAACCATAGAGTACTTATTAAACTCAAAGATAGAATTTAGGAACTTTTAAGGCACAAATAACTCACAAAGGTACTTGATAATTTTTTCATTTATCATTATCTATTTACTTACTTGAAGTTTTGTTTACTATATTTTTTATGTAATTTATCTTTTGATCATGAACAGTTTCAGGATCTGAGAGACCTGAAGTTTGAGGTAAATATTTAGAAGAAATCACAACAAATTCAAATTTAAAAAATCTGTCATATACACACAAACATCACAAAATCCATAAAAATAACATACTTTCATTAAGGGACTGACGCCATAGAGAATTCTATTTTTCCTATACAACTGCATATTTCAGTCTCTTCATGAATACAATTTTTGTAGTATTTGTCATAGAGAGAATGAACAAACCATGTATTTATTCTAGCATGGTTAATTTTTAAAATTGATAATCAGGATGCATAAAACAGCTTCACCTGAAGATATCTTGTTGGTAATGCTACAGTTCTGTACCCTATAAATACAAAAATTATTTTATTTCAAAGGCAGAATTCTTAACAAAAAAATGGTGAGTTTCTAATTGAATATGCCATGTTATTATTGAGTATATTTCTAACAGGAGAAAAGTTCTCTTTAGATTGGAAATCCATGAGAACTTAGAATTTTAAACATCAGATTAATTGGATTTGTTTTCCTTGACTACCTTCTGGCTTCACAAATTTCAAACCTTGACTCCTTCATTACTCATGTATTTCAGGTGCCAGGCACTACAGATCACAGTCCTATCACTATCAGGCTGAAAGGCATAACTACCTACACTCAAAAGGTGACTGTGAACTACCAATGTATCCTATTAAATCCACACTAAGTATATCCCCAATCACAAAATGACTGAAGCCATTCTACTGCCAGATGACACAAAGGTAAGAATAAATCAAGATGAAGACAGCAGTCTTAAATAACTACAGTTTAAAATATCTTATTTTTATAACTCTTACAGAGACAT